GGGGGGGGGGGGGGGGGGGGGGGGGGGGATGAGGCAGCAGCAGAGACACCGCAGAGCTGCCTCTGCCGCTGCGGTATATGCATTGGGTGCAAAGCGGAGTCCATAACAATTCTGTTTCTTCTTTTTATTGCTGCTGTTGTTGCTGAAATTATTGAGGGTTTGGTGGGGTCTCCTGCTGATGGGCAGACGACAGGGGGACACCATGTTTGGCTCTCGAAGCACAGAAGCAAATACTGCAGCAGCAAACATTGCAGCAGCAAGCAGTGCGATAGCAAGACCTCCAGTGGGAGTAGTGTGATTAAAATGATTCTCTCCTCGGTAACGCAGCAACTGAAGTTATCAATGGAAAATAGATCGGGGTTTATTGCGTGGAGGAAATACCTCTACCCTTTTCTGTCAGCATGCAACTGCTTGTAATATATGAATAACATATGAATATATGCGGTGTGTGTAATTACCTACAAATTTACCTATATTCTGAATATATGCTTGTACATATGTGTGTTGAGGTACATATATGTATGTAGAAAGGCGATTCCATCATCCACATGAGGATTTATTTCAGATTATGATGAGCAGTTGACTTGCGCCTGCTTAGCTTGCCGGAAGATCTGCAGCACTTCTTGCTGTCGGAGTCAGCTGTTTATCTACAACAGCACAGGAGAGAGGTCGTTGGAGAGGTGCATGCAGCTGCAACAGAGCAGCAAAAATCTTGAGTAGCACTCATTACAGCTGCTGATAACCTTAATTCCACCTCATACACACTCTCAGCACGGAGAGATTAAGGGGGACTGAAACCCAAACCCTAAACCCTCGAGGTGTGTTGGATAGTTGCACCCCATCGTCTCGGTGCTTATAGTGCTGCAAGGGAGCTTCAGGCGCATGAACAGTCAAATTTCTCTGTTATATTAGCGAACACTGAGGAAGAATTGGGTGCACCTGCCTGCACGCACTCCAAGTCATAGAGGTACGAAGTACACACACACTGTGTTCAACAGCGCAGTTTGCGCAAACGGTCCAATCCGCATGCACCCAATAAACGAGCTTAAAATGCAATTGACTGAAACTTCATACACAGTTGCTAAATACTCGCTAGGTGTAGAACAGCCAAGGCAGCAGCACACAGCAAATTACCTCCACTCCCTAGTAGGGCGAACTCCTGCTGCAAGCCGACCCACGTCAGCCAACTCATTCTGTTGCTATTATTATTGCTGAAGAAAACGAGATTGCTAAAAACTGATTTGGCCCTCAGTACCCAGCGCGCTAACTAGAATGTGTGCAAGTGAGGGGTACCTAGTTAAATCGAGTCTGCTTTCTCCATAACAGGGGGCAAGTATCATCTGCAGCGCAGTGTTCGAATTTTGAAATATAATTGTCGTACTATTAGCTAGCAACAAGTTAAAGGAGGGGCTACCGTCTTGCGACCGCCTCTCAATGAAGTGTGGGTTCGTACACACACAGGCGCTGGTTGGGGGTAATTGCAATTGTTATAGAGCGGACGTTTGAGATGAGACAAAGGGGACTACTCATTACAGTTAAAACAACGGGATATTTCTCCTTTTAAAGGAATAAGAGGTATATTTAGTGTATTTTGCTACGGGCAGCAACACCGGCAAAACAGCAGGAGTAGCCGCTGCTCCTCTATAGTGCACGCCGCACCTCCCCTACCGACGCTTCCCCTCCTGCGGCGTTAGCCTGCATCTGGGTTGTCTGTTGTGCTTTCACAAAAGGTTTTTCCGTCCGATCTGAGCTAAGTACAGTTTGTTTTGTTTAGTTTCTTTAAACAAACTTCTTCTTTCCTCAGCGAAAATGGTTTGCCGCATGGGCATCAACGGCTTCGGCCGCATTGGCCGCCTGGTGTTTCGCGCTGCCATGGCGAACCCCGAAGTGGTGAGCAGTTCAGTATTGCTTTGTTGTGTATTCCCTCAGGAACAGGAAATAGGCAGTAGTATAGCCAGTAAATAACGCACCACCATCAATTGTGTGCTACTTAACAGTGCCTTTTAAGAGTCGTTCGGGGGAGCTGACTCTAACCGGCAACCCCCGCAGGAGCAGCAGCACCAACACTAGAAGCTGAATGCAACTTTTCCGTACAGGTTGCCTTTCGTTCGAGAACATTCATTGGCCGTGCGTGAAGTGCATGCAATCTTCTTTGTTTGGGGCGCCTTTATCTAATGTGATTGTGTGTGTGTTCATGTGTGTTGTTTACAGGAGGTCGTTGCAGTGAACGACCCTTTCATGGACGTGCAGTACATGGCCTACCAGCTTAAGTACGACTCCGTTCACGGAAAGTACCCCGGTGAGGTTAGCGTTAAGGACGGAAACTTGGTTGTCAACGGCAAGACCATCAATGTGTTCGCCGAGAAGGAGCCCTCTGCCATCCCATGGGGCAAGGTCGGAGCTCACTACGTGTGCGAGTCCACCGGTGTCTTCACCAACAAGGAGAAGGCCGGGCTCCACATCGGTGGTGGTGCCAAGAAGGTTATCATCTCTGCTCCTCCCAAGGACGACACCCCCATGTTCGTCATGGGTGTGAACCACGAGGAGTACCAGTCCTCTCTCCAGGTGGTCTCCAACGCCTCCTGCACAACCAACTGCCTTGCTCCTCTTGCAAAGGTCGTTCACGAGAAGTTCGGCATTGTTGAGGGTCTCATGACAACTGTGCACGCTATGACCGCCAACCAGCTCACCGTCGACGGTCCATCCAAGGGTGGCAAGGACTGGAGAGCTGGACGTTGCGCAGGCAGCAACATCATCCCCGCAAGCACCGGAGCAGCAAAGGCCGTCGGCAAGGTTATCCCTGCCCTCAACGGCAAGCTCACTGGTATGGCCTTCCGTGTGCCCACACCCGACGTCTCCGTCGTCGACCTTACCTGCAAGTTGGCAAAGCCCGCCAAGTACGAGGACATCGTCGCTGCCATCCGCGCTGCCTCTGAGGGTCCCCTCAAGGGCATCCTCGGCGTCACCGATGAGGAAGTCGTCTCTCAGGACTTCTGCGGAGACAAGCACTCCTCCATCTTCGACGTCAAGGCCGGTATCCAGCTCAACGACACCTTCGTTAAGCTCGTCTCCTGGTATGACAACGAGTGGGGATACTCCAACAGACTTGTTGACCTCGCCATCTACATGTCCAAGAAGGACGGCAACTGAATGGGGAAGTGTGCCACCGGACACGCGGCCTTCTGTCGCAGCAAATTCTGATTGCATCCATGCTTTAACCTCAACTGATTCACAGAGACTTGCTTGCAAAAGACAAGCGGCAGCCGCCGCTGCTTGACTTCACAGCTCCATAGGGGTCTTTGCCCCGCACAACCGACTACTTCTAATGCATTTTCCTTTTTCGCATGCGGCCCTTCTGCTGTAGAAGCTGTTATAGTTATACTCTATAGACTCCCTCCCGCGTGTCCACGACGGTCAGGGTAGAGAGGTACCCCGTATGAGGGTGCAGTAGAGGTAGTGTATTACTTAGCTTCTATGCAGATGTTAGCGCGGGGGATCGATACAGTAGAGTAGCACTGTAGGCACGCAATTGTGTTCGTTACTGTCTACACTCAAACACAGTAGTTCAAGGGGGCATCTGTTAGCATATTTCTTGAATATGCAATGTGTAGGCTGCAAGATGACGGCTATGATCGCCATACGACTGTATAAGCTGTACTATTACTACGGGCGTTTAATACTGCGTGTTGCAGCTGTGTGCCAAGTGAATTTTTTGCCATTAAACTTTACTGAAGTCCGCCGTGTGAGGAGAAGCAACGGACAGCTGAAGAAGACCTGCGTATACGCTGGCAGCTTCCGGTTGTGTGCTGCATCAGCGGAAGACGCAGTTGTTCGTTGTTGCTTCAGCTTTTCAAAAGACCACGACAGCTTACATTTAGCCCCTTATTAGAGGTAGCACTGTCGACTGTCATTCGTCTATTAGCTCTTAGGCATATATAATGTATATAAACAGCAACAACTACGCCAGGTCCTTCGCTGACGACGAGATGCGGCCCCGCAAGGCAGTCTGCTGCTGCGACGCCGTCTTAGACAAACAAAGCGGGTTATTACAAGTAATTCGTTTGATTGCTAGCAAGCTGCCCAGTGGGCCAGCCTGCTAGTTCGTCTCAGTCAGCTGGCTAGCTGTTGTCGACGGTTTGCATATCGCTGGAGCCTTCTTCGAATTCTCTAACGGCCCTATCTTTAGGTGCAGCCCAGAGGAACGGCGCGTCATCAACAGCTGTTTGCAGGTCTTCTCTTGCCTGATCGTCAGCTTCGCCAAGCAAAGACTTCTGGCGCTGCGGCTCGGGGCTCAAGTCCTCTGCCATGAGAGAGAACTCCGCCTGTGCATCTTCATCAAATGTCTGTTGCTCGTCGTCGTTCAAGTCCAAATGGTGGCGGTGACGGTGGCTGCTGCTGCTCTCCGCCCCTCCTGCTGCTGCATGAGGCCGCGAGAGTGCAGGGAAGCTGGTGTGTTGCTGGAAAGCAGCTGCAAGCTCGTTGAAATAGCTGACTGCTGAAACCGATCTGGCGTCTGCGGTTTCTAAGTACGCAGCGGCTCGGAAGAAGGGCTTGGAGCGAGCAAAGTCCAATAGCGATTGGGGTTGGATTTTTCCCGACACCAAGTCGAGCAGCCGCCCTGACGTCTTACGCGCAACCTCGAGGACTTGAAACATATATCGCAGGGAAGAGTTGATGCGAGCTCCCACCAGCGACCACAGACGATAAGCGCCGTGGGGGCCGTTCTTTGAAAAGAAAGAACATGTAGACAAGTAAGGAAGCACCGCTCCCACTGCTGCGCTCGACACCTGAGACCCCAGCTGATACACCTCCTTGCTGTCTGCCACAGCAGCGTTGAATTGCTGTACCTCTCGCAGCACAGTTGCCTTGTTGGAGGAAGCAGCCAATACAACATTCAGCATATCACGGAGCGCCCTCATCTGCTGCGTCACTCGCCTTGCATAATCTCGCCCTTGCTCAACAAAGGCTTCCACTGGGAACTTGCTTGCTGCAGCGGCGGCTTGGGTGCTAGCCTGCAGTGCCTGAAGCTGCTGTCTGCCGCCGTCTTCAGCAAACCCCTTCTGCAAATTCTCAGCCTCGCAGAAAGCTATTACATTTTGAATCAGTTTGCTCAGCTCGGTAAGCGCACTCGTCAAGTTCTCAACAGGCGCCAACACTTCATAGCCAGGTGCCCCCCAGTTCCCTCCAGTCCCAGGACGCCGAAAGACCTTGTTAACTTGCACCTGCAGCTCCTGCACTGCACGGCTTGTGTTCGAGGATCTCCAAAGTCCTGCTGCTGCACTGGTTGACATAGAAACAGCTCCAGGAACAGCCCCGCTGCTCCCGTTGTCATGCTGCGGCAAAACCGCAGGAGGTTGCACCCGAGCCCGCTGCTGCACTAAGCCTTGCATCTGCATCAGAGCAGGCATCTGCACAGGCGCCCCTGCTCCTGGCGCTCCTGCAACAACAGGCGCATGTTGCTGCTGCTGTTGCAACGGCGCGCTGGAGCCGCTCTGTTGGGAAGTAGGATTCACGGCCGGCCACCACGAAGCAGGGGCTCCCTGAGGCACCATGCCTGGCTGGCCTGCTGCAAAACACAAACGCAAAACACACAATCTTCTTAACAAGGAGCGACACAGCACAACAACACAACCCCGTCGCATGAAACCAACAACAGATCACCGTACATCACAAACTGTCACTATGCTAGAACACAGCAGCGCATACAAACAGAATGATAACAAAGAGACAGTTGTCTCACCTCCGGGCTGCTGAATCCCCCAAGCCGGCCATGATTGGGGCGGCCCAGCGCTCTGAACAGGGCAGCCTTGCAGGAGCACAGCAGCAGCTGCTGCTGCTGTTGCTGCTGCGAGTCTCATCTTGGGCTTTGATAAACAAGCCTTGGTGGAAGAAGAAAAGCACTCCGACTCAAGAAGCAGCCACCTAACAGCAGCTCGGCTGGTTGTGACGGGTGTTTAGCAGCAGAAGGAAACGGCTCATGACGGAGGCACAGGGCGACCTGCTGAGGATCGCTGTAGAAAGTGAACGGATGCAGATCGGGCAATCAATTGAATCAAACTTGAAAAACCTTGAGACTTCTGCGGTTACTCCAAAGGAACCCGCGCACCCGCAGGGATCGAGAGTCGGAAATAGACCCCACGACAAGCAAACCCAGAAGCCATCCGCCGTTCCTCCTCTGTACTATCTAAACTCAACAAATTCGCAGAACAAATACATAAAACTCGGGTAAACTCACCTAAACAGAGAAACAAAGCGGGCGCAACTGCCTGGCAGCAACCGAGGCACGGCGCCGCTCGTTCATACAAAACGCCCTCACGATGCTGAGCTCCCCCCCGTAAGCCAGCCTTGGCTTGGCAGCAGGGGCTCACACAAAGACCCCGATATTTACTAAAATATTCAGCTTTGCACCCTCGTTAGCTCATTTACATCGAATCCTTGGGGAGAAAAATCAAGAAAAACTCAGAAATGCAGGAGTCTCACTTCAAACGCACTGCTCGGATGCACACGCGCCTCCAGCGGTCTACTGCAGCACGTCGAGCGATCTACACAGAGACGCTATTATAACCGCTAAATAACTGTTAGTGGCTTTTTAACCTTTCACTATAGGCATTATTAAGAACTCTCCGCGGCTTCATCCCCCGGAAAAGCCCTAGAAACATCCGTTTGTTTTTTGCGTCCGTTTGTTTGCAAGGAAACGACCCTTCTAATTAATTTTTGCCTGCTGTTATTACCCTTTCCCCATATTATTCTAAATGAGTTTTCTATGCCAGACTCAGAGCACACTGGGGGGACATGTCCTAAGAGTAATAGCTGGGGCCCCTTAGCGCTGCTGCTGCTGCCTCGCTGGGGTTAGTAACTTCTACGTTTCGCGGCTTGAAGGCAAGTAGACAACACCGGCAGACAAGCGAACTACAGTATAGTATTTAAGTTACAGGCTCAGGGTCTAGAGTAAGAGGGGAGGATTCAGCGTATAGGCTTCGTGGATTGCACTCAAGCTAATAGGCAGAAAACGCGATGCCAATAGCCGCTTACATCGCTGAGAAGGCAGGAAAGCCCGCCCTCCTCCTTCATACATGCTGGACATGGCATTTCAGTGTTTCGAATAGGGGTCACAGTTGTTTTTCAAACCTCTGTTGCCGGGATATCTTACAAATATGCATGAATGTAGTCAAACAGAAAGACCAATGCACTAATAAATACACATAAGTAAAGTAGGTGGAGGTTTGAAAGGCGCCTCTGTGCCTCAGCGGTAAAAAATCTCAGAACAGCACACAGTGCTCTGCACACTGCGCAGTCTGCTGCATCACAGTAACAGTGTTTGTAGGATAGTTTACCGGTTTCTCAGGTTTAGCTTTAATGTGGCGCGTCCTGCTGAGACCTATTCTTTTGCAGAGGATCGTGCAGTCTCTTCCTTAAATCTCTCTCACCTTCCCGCCGCTTCACTGTAGTAACGCGAGCTGGGAGCACCCGCATTAACTAGCTGGGTGGCCCAGTGATCTTTGCGTGGTCATATTCGCGGCGTTCTTTAACTTGACTTAGTAAATGGCCTTCAATAGTTTGGGTCGATTGGACTAAAGAATAAGTTTCTGATGAAATGTGGTTAGTTAGGCCTAAAGGAGTTCATGATGGGAGGTAATGAGCGGCTGTTGGCTTGGACTGGCCGTCCGCGCTACAGGCGGTGTGTGCATCGCACAGAGCAGTACTACAAACACAACAGTTTAACACTAACAGAGAAAGAATAAAGCAAGCAAAGAAGCGGAATCGTAGGTGGATACTTTAACAACCGAAACCACAAGAAAAAACTATGTAGGGGTAGTAACCCCCGAACAAAATAGGTTTATTCATATTCTGTTGGTGCACACGGCGTGGGGGGTAGTCATCAAAAAGTTCGAACAACCGCCCCATTTGCTGTGCAATACCTTTTGGCCCCAAACTGGGAGCCCTACTAAACGAAATTCCTAAGCAAACGCAGCTACTGCTGCTGCTTCTACTGCTGCTGCTTCTAATGCTGCTGCTGGGCCTTGCCGAGTAGCTGGAGAAGCAGCTGCTTCCGCTGCTGCCTGGATAAAGGACATTCTAAAGCCGTGTCAAAGGGGGCACTGTGCGACTCCTTAGCTGAGGGGCCCCAGCAGTAAGAAGGGTCGCTGCTATACCACCAGCTATGCCATGCGTCGGTTTTCCCATCCTCTGCTACTGCACCTGCAGTTACTGCTGCTGGTGCTGCTGTTGCTGAGGAGGGGTGTTCTATCTGCCTGTCTCGCTCCCCAGGAGAAGCAGCTTCGGATTGTCCTGCCTTCCCCGCAGGAGCAGCACCTATGGCGTCTGAAGCAGCGGCAGTAGCAGCACCAGCAGCAGGGTCCTGTTGCTCTCCCCAACTGTTGCGAGTCCAGGGGAGTACGTCAATACCAAACAAAGAAGCAAGACACTCTGCAGCTGCGCGTACACCCGAATGCATTGCCCCATGGACGCACTGCTGTCCGAAGTCTGATGTGTGTTCCCCGCAAAAGAAAATACGAGCATCGCTTAGGCAGCCCTCAAATGTCGCTGCTGCGGCTGCTCCTGCTCCTGCTGCGGCTTCTTCTGCTGCTGTTGTTGCTGCTGGTGGTGACACTGGCGCTGGTGATGCTCCTGCTGTTGCTGGTGGCGCTTCTGCTGCGGTTAGCGTCGCTTCTCCAACACCTGTAGGAGATGCTGCACCACCTGCAGGCAGCTGCGGACTCACCAACGGTGGCATTTCACCTGCTGGAACTTGGAGAGCGTGGGCATGGTCTGAATTTTGCTGCTGCTGCATGAGCTGCTGCTGCATGAGTTGCTGTGCCTGCTGCAGGATTGGGGGGTTGGCGGCAGCGACCGTAGCAGGCCGCGGGCACCAGGGGAGAGGAAGTGACATTTGTCTCTGTTCATCTGCCTCCACGTACTACCGCAGCAGCAAAACAACACACACCACACAAAGAAGCATGCAGAAGCAGAAGCAGCAACAATAACACAAACAGAAAAAAAAGATGGCAAGCCCAACCAGCTGCAATAGCACCAGCAACTCAGCAGCAACTGCAATGGCAAAGGCATAAGTACCAGGACAATCACCAGCAGCAACAGACACAGTAGCAGCAACAGAAGCAGCAGCATACCTTCGAGGGGTACCCATAGGCGCATTTGAACAAAGGGTCTTCATCCCAGCGAGTAACGAATGCCTGAAGTGGCTCGGGCTGAGCAGCCAGCGCAAACATCTGCTGCAGCACGAAACAGCACTCGTCAACCACCTCCCAGGCCTGTACTGGACCTTCCTCTAGTATACGCAGGCATGGACCCCCGTTCCTAGTGCTGCTGCTGCTGTTGCTGCTGCTGCTCCCTTGCTGCTCTTCTTGCTGCTCCCTCTTTGGGGGGGAGCTCGACGTTCTTTTGCGTTTCCCTGCCGTGCCGTTGGCTGTGGCCTTCCCATTCATGTTCGGGTGCTGCTGCTGCTGTTGCTGCAGCAAGGCCTTGATACGTTTATTTCTGTCTCTCCTAACCTTGCGCCATCCACCAGAGTTAAAACCGTGAGCAACTAAACAGCCAGGTGCTCCCAATTGATGCAGACTCATAAATTGGAAGCGTAGACTGGCTGCAGGGCTGATGAAATACGCAGGCCCATCTCGTAGCCAGAAAGCCCTGCAGCAACACCAACACCAGCAGCAAACGCAGTGCATGCACGAGGGGGGGAAGGGGAGGGGGGAATAACGCAGCAACAGCAGAAGATGAGCGCAACTGTAGCAAAAGGGTAAGCTGTGCTGGGGCTTCGACTGTCTTCATGCATTACACTGCATGCACGCAAAAACCCCAGCTTGCATGCAAGACAAATGCAGGCGCGTCTGTGGGGCCTGAGAGAGCCAACGCATCTGTCTGTAGACCTGGTGACGATGCGGCAAAGAAGGCAAGCCAGCAGCAGCAGCCGGAGGAGAGCGAAGCCTTCTCCTTGAACTAATGCAGTAAACAATTAAAATTAAACAAATTAAAAGAGAATATATTTAATTAATTGGGCAACAGCAACACAAAGATGCCGCAAAAAGAGCAACTCATGATAATGCCTTACTCCTTGAATATAAGAATAACTTTGTTGTGGCTGCCTGCACCCCAACGGCGAATAGCCGTTTGTCTGTCCCTTGGGAGAGGAGGAGAAAAAGACAAAGATCCCTCTTGTAATACACCAATAGGAACAGCTACTATTGCCCGCATCGCATACACACAGCGCTCCTCACCAGCACCAGAATCCTCCTGCGGTTCCTGCTGCTGCTGCTGCTGGTCTTGCTGCTGCTGCTCGGAATCCTTCTGCTGGCGCTGCCGTTTTTGCTGTGGCGCGCGCTGACGAGAATCAGCATGTACGTTTTGCTGTTCCTGCTGCTGAACCTGCTGCTGCTGCTGCTGCTGCAGAGCCCGCAGCTCAGGATCCTCGCGGTGTCTGCGGAGTTTCACCCGGACGAAGTGGTATTCGGGAGCGACCCACTGCAAGGTGAGCGGGTTGTCTGCTGTTCCACCTCCTGCAGAAGCAGCAGCAGCGGCAGCAGCAGCAGCAACTGCAGCTGCCTTTGCTGGTACAGGTTCGGCAGTAGACGTACTAGTGGCACCTGAGGCTCCTGGTTCCTGCTGCAAAGCCTCAGCGAGACTCTCAACAGCTTCCCTGATGGCAGCAGCTTGCTGCCGTTGTTGCTGCTGCTGCTGCTTGTGAAGGAGTTCGCCTGAGGAGGATTCCCGCGAAGATGACCGCGACCGCGAGGAATCCCAAGACGGGGATCGGGAACGTGATCGGGATCGGGATCGGGAGTGACTGCTAGATATGCCGCAGCTGGTTGCATTAGCGCAGTCGGCTGCACGCAGGTCCAACTGCCGTTGCTGCTGGTGCTGCTGCTCATGGTCTCCCGATCGCAGCAACTCTATTGCTCCCACGCGCCAGCCCAGCAAGCAGCAATTTGAAAGGCCAAAGCCCCGTACCAGCAGCTGCGGAAGCCACGCATAGCCCTGCATGCAGCAACCGGCAGCACACGCAAACAGCAGCAGCTGCAGCAAGACAAGGAACAACAACAAACGGCAGCACTCCCAGCAGTGGCTGCGCTGCAGCGAGAAACATATGGCAGAAGCAGCAGCAGAAGCACCATCCAAAGCACGATAAGCAGCACGAGCATCACCAGCAGTTGTCAGTGCACCTTCCGCTGCACAGCAGCAGCACACACGCCATGCAACAGCAGCAGCAGCAGAAGCAGCAGCAGGGCCCTGGACTGTACCTGTACAAATAATCTATCGAAGCTCTCTGCCCTTCTATCCCATTGAATTGGTGTTAAAGAAGGACCAACACGACTTCTTGCCATTTTGAATCCTTCGATCCGGCCCAATAGTTGATACTCTTTTGCTCGTAAAAAAGAGAATACAGGCTGACGACGTGCACGACGACGCCGGCGACGCTGCTGCTCCTCTTGATGCTGCTCCTCTTGATGCTGCTCCTCCTCCTGTTGCTGCTGGTCCTGGTCGTGGTCGTGGGTTTTCTGCTGCTGGTCGTGGTGGTGGTTCTCGTTTCGTTGCTGGTTCTGCGGGCTCCTACGTCCATCCGCGGTGCACTCTGCCTTTGCTGCATGAGCTGGTGCTGGTGAGTTACCTCGTGCTGCTGCTGATGATGATAATGGCGGTGCCGCTACCTCTGCAGTATCGGCAGCAGTGGCACTTCCTGGCTTGCCGCGGATTTCTGTTCTTTCTTCGCCACCCGGAGCAGCAGCAGGAGCAACAGCAGGAGCAGCCGCCAGCCTTCGTGTGGCTTTCACAGGCTCGTCACCGTTGGCTTCTGCTGTTCGGCGCCTCTTTGCTGCCGTCCCAGCACGTGCAGCACCACCCTTAGCAGCAACGAACTGGTCTTGATCACTAACAGCAACAGCATCAGCAGCAGCGGGTTCTTCCTCATCCGCAGCCACAGAGACTGATGGCTCAGCAGCAAGCCGATGCAGACCACAGACATAGCCTAAAGACCGCTGCAGCATTTTCCACACTACGCTGATGTCCGTTGCAGTTAGCTTGCTGCTGCTGCTGCTGCTGCGCTTCTTGCGTAGAGTTCTGGTGTTGTTGATTGCTTCATCGGTAGACGGGCTGCTCCTGTCTCCGTCATCCCCCTTAACTGCCTTGGTGCTGCTGCTTCCGTTGCTGTTGCCGTTGCTGCTGCTGCCGGAGCCAGATGCATGCGAGAGTTCTTCCAAGTCAGGCAGCCCCAACGCCTGCTGCTCATTAACAACAAAGCGCATCGCACTGCGAAGAGCGGACAACAGGCTGCGTGGCTTAGCAGGAGCAACAGTTTCGTCTTCTGCTGCAGCTGCTGATATGCTTGTTGCTGCTGCTGCTGCTGTAGAAAGTGCTGCTGCAGTGGCAGCAGTCGAAGGGGTTGCTGAGACCTCAGATGTATCGTCTCGTCCAACGAGCGCAGCAGCAGCAGCAGCAGCAGCAGCGGCAGAGTCTGCATGCGTCGACTTGCCGGTATCATTGCTCAACTTTCGTTTGCATATTTGCTGCTGCTGCTTCTGCTGCTGCTGCTGCTGCTGCTGCTGTTTAAGCCTGCGTTCCGCGTAGGGTGCCTTTCTTAGGGCCTTTTCTCTAGCTTCTGTGGTCATAGCAGCAGCAACCAAGACAGCATCTTGTAAATCTTTAAGAAATGCTATTCTAGCAGCAGGAATTATGCTGCCGCTGCTGTCTCGCCACTGTGCTGCATGCACCAGCGGCTCCCATCCTCCTCCCCCCCCTTCTACCCCGCTTGCAGCACCGTCACTGCTGTTGTCAATGTCTGCTGCTGATGCTGCTGATGTTGCGGATGTGCGTGTGTCGCTGCTACTGTTACCCTTGCGGCGTGTTCGTCTCCTCCTGCTTCTTCTGCTGCTGCGTCTGCTGCTGCTGCTACTGCTGCTGTTGCTATGCCGCCAATTTCCCCAGAAGCCTACTGATGGCACACCCAATCGTGCTGCCCATCGCCATACAAACTGCGGATTACTTCTTTCCCTCATTAGCCAATTTGCCCCCAAGTCTATACATAGACGCAGGCCCTTCTCGTACTCACCTGCTGCTGCTGCTGCTGCTACTGCTGCTGCTGCTTCGGCTTCGTCTGCTGGTCCTGCTGATGTGCCTCGTCGACGTGCTAGAGCTCGGGTTGCACCTGCTGTACGAGTTGCTGCTGCTGCCTCTGCCTTCGTTGCAGCAGCAGCAGCAGCAGCAGCAGCAGCAGCAGCAGTTGCCGTATATTCATGCGGATACCACGCCAGCTGTTTTGTTCTTGCGCCTGCTGTTGTGCGTTTGGAAGTGCGCCTCAGCTTCCCCTCGGGGCTGCTGCAATTCGTTGCTGCTGCTGCTGCTGCTTCTGCTTCTGCTGCTTCTGCAGCAGCAGCAGCAGCAACAGCTTGCTGCCACGCTGATATCTCTGAGGGGGGGACGTACGCCCAGAAGCGAGATGTACGCCGTCTTATCGTTGGCTGTGTGGGTCCACCAGAAGGCAGCAGGAGTCGGCGGAGGTCGTACTCTGCATGCTGCTGTTGCTGCTCCTGCTGTTGCTCCCCTGCTGCTGCTGTTGTTGCTGCTGGTGGTGGTGGTGATGTGTACATCGCTGTCGTCCGCACGCGCCCTCCTAGCTGCTGCCCCGCCTCTATCAGCAGCACAGACACACCAAACAGCCGCAGCACAGCAGCAGCAGCAAGCCCCGATACTCCTCCTCCAACCACCACCACGTGGTAAGCTACAGGCTCCTCTCCCGCTGCTGCAGCTGCTGGTGTTGCCTCTGCTGCTGCACCGCCATCATCAGCTCGCCTCTCTCCGCCCGTCGCTACTCTCTGCTGGCCTGTTAGTCCTTGTGCAGGCGTAGGTGCAGCAGCAGCAGCAGGAGAAGCAGCAGCAAGGTGGCACTTTAGCTGCTGCACCCACGGCTCGAGCGCAGGCATCTTGAGGTGAGTTAAGGGGGGTGGTGCTGCAGTTGCAACTGCAGGCAGCGGCAGCAGCAGGGGTCTAGGGTTCCTGCTGCTGCTGCTGCTGCAGCTGCGGAGGGGTAAAGAACTAATAAATGATAAGTCGCAGTAAGAAGAGAAACCTGTTAAAGATTGATGAGCAGCAGGAGGACGCAGCAGCAGCAGCGGAGAAACTGCTGATGCAGCAGGAGGGGGAAATGAGGTGTATGTACACCGAGGGGGCGAACATGTTGCTGCAGGAGGCAGCAACGTGTCGTTACTGTAACGGTTGCCGCATATTGCATCCGCCGCTGCTGCTGCTGCTGAAGTTGCTGCTGCGGCTGCTGCATGCGCATCTGGAGTTTTTGTTGCTGTCAATGCTGCTGCTGCTGCTGAGTTGCTGCCAGCAGCACAAGTGCACCGCCTATCAGGGTTCTGCTGCGGCTGCTGCAGCAAAGCAGCACGTAAGGCGTCGTCCAACGGATGTGCATCTGCTGCAGCAACCCAGTCTCTGAATTGCTGCTGCTGCTGCTGCTGCTGCTGCGTCTTCTTGCGGCCCCTTCTTTCCATAAATCGCTTCAATGGCCGAGTGTCTGTATCGCTCTCAAGGGCAGCAGCAGTAGCAGCAGCAGCAGCTGCTTCTCGTGCAGCAGCTGCTGCAGCAGCAACTGGACACGTAGGGTCGTGCTTCTGCGCCTCCTTCTGCTGCAGCAGGAGCTGCTGCTGCATGTGTCCCGTTTGGAAGGCTAAAGCGTCAAGAGAGGCATCTACAACATCAACCATCTGCTGCAGCAGCAGCTGCTGCAGCAGAGCAGGCTGCTGCCGAAGTTGCTGCCGACGCAGCGGGCAGCGGCTGCGCAGCCTGTATCGGTCTGCCCACTGCATCAGCAGCGACACAGGTTCTTCATAAGCTGCTTCTGCGCCTGCTGCTGCATCTGCTGCTGTGCTTGATGTTGTTGCTGCTGCTGCATCTGTTGCGCATGATGCTGCTGTTGCCGCTGCTGCATCTGCTGCTGCTGCCGCCACAGTTGCTCGTTCCACCTTAATGGGGTCTGAAAGTTGTCCTCCTGAGCCCAGGCAATTCGCATCAGCGCCAGCAGCAGGAGCTGCTGCTGCTGCTGCTGCAGCAGCAGAAGATGCACGTGAAGCCATGCTTCCTGGCACTGTGTTGTTGTTGCTGCTGCTGCTTCTGCTGCTAGGCTTACACTCGTCTACGCGTCCCGCTGCTTATGCAGCGCGTCGTCCCTCTTTGCAACGATCCCCCGTACCATGCTGTTTCATAGCAGCAACACTTCTACCAACGCCAGCAGCAGCAGCAGCAGGAGCAGCAGCAGCACCGTGTTAGGCCCTTAAGGGTTTAATGGGCCCTCTTAGACACCTCGTGGGGCAGTACTCAACTACCAGGGGAAGGGTTCTGGTATCACTAAGTCGAGTTGTCTAGTGCAGCAGCAGCAGCTGCAGCTGCTGCAGCTGCTGCTGCAGCTGCTGCTGCTGCTGCAGCACAAGATTTTAGTGCTCCTGCTGCCCAGCCTTCCACAACCCTAAGAAAACAACCCGAATAAAGCCTCCTCTTTATTCCTTAACACCCCTCTCCTATAGTGATTAAAGGACGAGACACACAACCGGCTGTAAGAGCAGCAGCAGCGGCTGCTGCTGCTGCATGCACGCATGCAACAGCAACAGCAGCAGCAGCAGCAGCGGCGGCAGTGTCCTGGGCGCTGCTCGGGGCGAGGCGTGCTCTTTCCCACAAGCATCCTTTGTTTTATTTTGACCTTTTTTTATTGCAGCAGGAAAATTAAATAATATTTTGCTGCTGCCGCAGGGATCTAAGCCTCTGCCGCGTCCATCAGCAGCAGGGATCTGTGCATCTGCAGCAGCAGCAGGGCCAGCAGCAGCGGGAGACCCCCCAGTTGCCCCTTGCTGCAGCAGCAGCAGCAAAGTACAAATTCATTGGGCTATTTAGTAGTGCTGTCTTTGTGTGAGAGATAAATTGAACTGTCGCGTCTGTAGCAGCAGCAATAACAGCAGCAGCAGCAGTGAAGCAGCAGCAACAGCAGCAGCAGCAGCAGCAGCAGCAAAATGCTCGCCGCACGGCCGTGGACAGGTTTAGGGGGAAGCGCGGATATCGCGCAAGTCTTTGAAAGGAATCAAGAGGCCACATTGTAAGTGTCAGCAGGAGCAATACCAGCACCAACTGCAGCAGCAGCAGCAGCAGCAGCATCTGTAGGAGCAGCAACATATGCAGCAGCAGCAGTATATGTATAGCAGCAGCAGCAGCAGAAACAGGAGGAACAGCAGCACGAATCCCCCTCTAGCTGCTACATCCTCAGCCACCGCACCCCTATAGTGCTGTTGTTGGTGCTCCTGCTGCTGCTGCTGCTGCTGCTGCTCAGGTATGTAGGCAACATCGATGCTCAGGTGGATGAAGATCTGTTATGGGAATTATTTACACAAGCGGGTGTTGTTCGTCTTGTAAATGTACCAAAGGATAAAGTTACAGGAGCACACCAAGGTACTAAACCCTAAACCCTAAACCCTAAACCCTAATCTATGAATACATACAATATACTGAGTATTTTTGCATCTGTCCCTCTCTAAATCTTTACAATAATTCCCATTTATTCTTCCCTCTAATCGCTCGTACTTACTATATATATATATATATATATATA